AAACAATTAGCTAAAACAAAGAAAGGGATTCATACATACATATGGCATTCCTTGATATCTTCATTCGTATGTTTGTAGACGCAGTCCTGTTCCCTACACTCTCCGTACAGCCGAAAAAACCGGCAAACTGGCATCCGAGACTTATCGTACTGATGCAGGAATCCACATGCCTCGCCTTTCATGCACAGAGATCGCAGCCAGTGGCGGCACACCGTCTGCCGGAAGCTCCTCCTGCCTCCGCCTCCGCCGCCGCCCATTCCATCTGCGGGCTGCGCCGCCGCCACGGGCCCGGCGGTAGGGTTATTGGAATTGGGCGCGGCCGCGGCGGGGGCCGCGTTCGCATCCGCTGCCGATTGGATTACGGGCACGGACGCGGTCGGGTGCGCCGGGCCGGAGTCCAGCCCACCCTCGAAATCGAAGCTTAAACCCCCTTCTCCACCATCATCCATGTTCACAAAACAGCAAGCAGGTACAACTCGCGATGTGCAGCGCACAAGCCGGTGAAGCGAGGGCTATGGAGCTGCTGAGCCTTGGCGTTTTAGAGGGATCAAGGAGAAGGAGAGTGAAATTGAGTAAAGGAGCTTTGTTGATGTAAATGTGTGATATTGCTATCGCCAGAAAAAGGTACAACTCGCGATGCTATGCGATGAAGTACGTCCTTAATTAGTTGTTGTACCTTACTATTGCCAGTCCAGGAGTACACACATACAATCTACATGCAAAACTTGCTCAGGTCTATCAAAAGTGAAAATGTCCAAAATAATTTTGTTGGATTTTTTCTTAATCGACTTATTTATTTTGATTAAGTGATTTTGAGGACAATATATAAATAAATTGGCTTTTCTGTTCCTTTTTGGATTGTCTCTTAGACTATTTGATTGTCTCAATTTCATTGAAGTTCAATCATAACATTGTTAGCTTTAGGGCTGCAAACGAGCCGAGTTGAGTCGAGCATTGGCCTTATCGAGTAAGATTGAATTTCTTTTTTAGTTGCTCGAGCTCGTCGAGCTTGACTCGATAAGAAAATACAATAGCTCGAACTCGACTCGAAATTAAATGCTCGAGCTCGGCTCGAGTTCAACTCGAAAATTTTAAGCGAAATTATCATTAAGCATTTGTATTATACTATTTAAATATATATAAGGGCTATTTTTGTAATTTAATATATATATCGAGCCGCTCGACAATACAAAATATGGGCTCGAGCTCGACTCGAGTTCGGTCAAATTCAAGCTCGAGTCGAGCTTTAACTCGAGCACTCGCGGGCGACTCCTTTGCAGCCCTAGTTAGCTGTGTCCAGATGCCAATAAAATCTTATATCAACACTCAACAGTACAAATGTGTCCTTGCTATTTGTTAGTCTAAAAAAAATTGCAAATGAGTCGAGTCATGTCAAACATTGACTTTTCGTGAGTCGAACTCGATTTTTTTCATTGTTGCTCAAGCTTGACGAGCTCGACTTGTAAAAAATATAAAATGCTTGATATCGACTCGAATTTCATTGTCTCAAATTTCGGTGAACTTCAGCTCGAATTTTCAATAAAGTTTCCTATTCAAATAGAAAAATATCTTGGGTTGAGTATGGCTCAAATTTTGCTCGAAATATTAGGTGCAGTTGTACTCGAATGAGTCGCCAACCACTAAGCTTACAACATACAACCTTCGACTCAACCACTAAGCTTACAACATACAACCTTGAATTGAGGTGCTCGAGCTAGATTCATGCTCAGTAAAACTCGAGCTCGACCCAAACTTTGACTCAAGTGTTCACAAACAGCTTGTGAACTACTTGATTCGTTTTTAGCCTTGGGGCCCACAGCACCATGAAGTACAACCTGGCCATCGTGAACAAGTAGACCAATCATAATTGCGCTTTGCGCAATACTCATTGAGAGCACTTAGTTAGAGCACCCACAATGCTTTGGGTCTCTTAACAAAAAATTACATGCAACATGGGAAATAGACTCAGTCTATAAAAAAATATTCCCAATGCAATTAAAAATGGACATGGTCTAGCTTATGTGCCAATGAAAAAAAGAGACCAAGTCCACACTTGGGTCTATTTTGAACCCAAGTATAAACCCAAACACTCTATCATTTGTTTTTAATTTAATTTTTCTTTTAATAAATAAAACATATTAGAGCATTTTTATTGGTTGGCATATATGTTAGACCTAGTATTTTTATTTTTTGCATTGCAAAGTTTTTTGAGTTTTTTTACTTGGGTTTGTCCATGTCATTTAAGACTCAAGTCCAATTATATGCCACATATACAAAAAGAGACCCAAAGCATTGTGGATGCTCCAAGTTGCATTGATAACCGTGCTGATTTTCGGGTCGCCTTCAAATTTACGAAAGAAGGAACCTCCAAATTTACAACTATCTCAATAAAAGACTCCACAAGACCGCAAAGCAAGAAACTCGATAAATAGTCGACAACACAACCATCGGAGCTTGGAGTGAAAACAATGCTTCAAGCAAAGAGCCATCCAAAAACTATCACAAGAAAAAAAATCAAAGTGGAGAAGAGAGGGCAAGAATCTGGCAATTGATCTTGAGAGACCAATAATTCAGACGAAAAATACCGCCAAATTTCCTAAAATAGTAAAAACAATGCTTCAAGCAAAGAGCCATCCAAAAACTAGCACAAGAGAAACAATCAAACTGGAGCAGAAGAGGCAAAATCTGGCAATTTGATCTTGGGAGACCAATAATTCAGACGAATAATATGCCAAATTTCCTAAAATGAACAGTTCTTTCAACAATATATAAATGATACGAAAAATATCCACCACCAGTCACGTGTCAAGATCTCATTCATAACCTTCGTAAACTAACACCAACACAATGACATGAATAACCAATATATTAAAAAACTAGTTTAGCGCCCAAAAAACGGCAACTGCCCCCCTTAAGGTACAACCAAAAAGAAACATATATATGAACACAGTAACTGTGAGGTTAAAAAAAAAATCCACAGAAAGATATAAATTCCAAAAAAAGGAAAAAAAAAAAAAGTCTCACCATTACGTAAACAAAGTGACGACATCTCTACGGTACCCCCTCACTATCAACATTCTCGGCACATTCTCCACGAGCAGGTCCATATACTCCATATAAAAATATGCCGGGTGGTTTAGTGGCGGTGGTGGAAGGCTCACGAGCACAACTGCCGCCATTCTTGAGTACTTCAAAATCGTCGAGTTAAGCTTAAGTGTCGTGTACAAAAATTTCTCAACTTGCTGCTCGTTTACAACCACTGGCTTCCCGTCAGCCATCATCAAGCCAGGTGTCCCCTCATGCTCCGCCCTCTCCTTCATCGAGGCCATGTAACTCGAAATTCTCTCGCGGGCCCCACTGAAAGCCTCAATCGACGACTCGTCCTGCTGCTCGGTCCTAGCGTCCCACGACTTCATCGAGATCACAATAACTTCAGCTTGCATTCGGAGGTCGTATAGGAATTTCTTCACGTCAGCCTTGAGCTCCTCGGCATCTGAATCCTCTTCGGCAATGCAAAACACCTGAGGAAGGAGTAAAAAAAACTTGTGTCGGTTGGTGCCTTAGAAATAAAACTAAAACAAATTTCAATTACGCTTTATCGAACAATTTAGGTTTAGGGTGTGCTTGGATATAAGTTTTTGATTGGATATTTTGGTTTTGATTGGTTTGTTTGGTTAAGTTGGTTGGATTAGGTTTGAGTGAGATTTTTAGTTTGTATTAAAATAATATTTAAAATAAAATGATTTAAGTTGATTTGATGTAAAAATAAGAGAGGTGATTGGAAGTGATGGTAGTTCAAATTATGTGAGTGGATGAATATTGATTGTTTGGAATTATTTAATTATATGGATAATATCTAAGAAAATATTTGTGATTATGTGTTTAGTATTAGTTAAAATTAAAGTTAATGTGATTTGTGAAGATTGATTGTTAAAAAAAGGCAACCGATGAAAAGTGATTGGCAAATTTGTTAAAGAGGGTAAAACATTGGCTACAATCTATACTATTTTTTAACTCTGCAGCAACCTATATAGCACTTTTTCTTGGTAAAATACCATCTAAACAAACATTCATAATTTTGCAACCTCTCTTTCATCTTGACCCTACAATAATCCGAAAAGATGGACACGTGTACAATCAAGAGGTTGCAAAATCATGAATGTTCATTTCAAGATGCTGCATTTTACCCTTTGTTAAAAAAACACGTGCAGCATAGGTTGAAAAAAAAAATGTTTCACTCTTAAAATACCAAAAAACAGAAAGCCCTCGAAAATTTTAAACAATTAAAATTTATAGTTTTTATGTACAAGTTTTTTCGCCAAACCTGAATCTTACAGCTCTCGAAGCTCTCCTTCGTCAAGAGCAGCTGTGAGAGCAAGAGCATGAGACCACCATCCCTCACGATCCAATACAGGTCAATCGTCCCATACTGCCGCTGGTACTCATTGGGCCACTCATCCAAGCCCTTGACTATAACAACCGCCTTATTGGCAACAATACAATCATTGATAATCCCAACAAAGGTAGCCGGAATCTCGGTGAGATTCTCCCGGCGCCAAATCTCCGGATAGCGCATTACGACAATATTGGGCTTCAAATTGCCCAGGCCCATTGTCTGAATAATGCCTCGAAAACCGTCAGACATTGTGGGGGCCACCACTATCTCTGCCACGCCTTCGCACCTTTTGTACTCGATATACGTGCTGAGTGCTCGGCAGGCGGCCTTTGCATCCTCGGCCATCTCGTGGTAGTCCCCGTCAAGGATCGACACGAATATGGACATCCCGCGGCCCTTCTTCTTCATGAAGTTTGCGAAGTCGGCAAGTTTCGGGTGGCATGGGACATTCTCGGGAAGCTTGCCCCACGGCCGGCAGAACACGAGTGGGATTGGGTACCAGTTCTTGGGGTGCACCTGGCTAGCTGCACGCACGGTAGATAACAAACGTTGAGGGTGATTCGTGTAATTTCCAACGATTTTTTTTTTTTTTTGGGTAGTTATTGTAATACACAAAAGTTGATGATTTTTACACGGAAATAGTGGTGGCTATGTTTGGTCAAGGTTAAAATGCATTTTTAGTCTTGTTGGTTTAACCCTATAGCAATTTTAGTTCAAGGTTTCAACTTTTCGCCTTTTTGCAATTTCAATCACAAGACTGAAATTGTAACAAAATTTTAAATTAAATGACTTAAATTGATAATAAAAAATCTATAAATTTGGGAATTTTATGCAATTTCAGTTCTCAAATTGCAGCAAAATATTAAATCACGGACCAAAAGGCGAAATGTTAGAATCTTGGGACTAAAAAATGCTATGACGTAAAACAAACAGGACTAAAAATACAATTTAGCCGTTTGGTAAACCTAGCTTATAACTTTTAAGTGAATTTCGAGCTTATAGTAAAGCTAACTTATATGATAAAAGTGTTTTGCAAAATTAGTTGAAGTAATAATTTCAAATGGTCTTACTTGAAAAGCTACCGATGAAGCTTATGAGATACGCTCGAGCTTTTTAAAAAAGTTCGTCCTACCAAACCAAACTTATTTTGAATACAGAAAGCTTATAAGCTAATCAAAGAAGCAGTAAGCTAAGTTTATATGCTTACCAAACACAGCCTAAGATTTGAGTTAATGGCCATGGATGAAAATGGAGATAATAAATAAGAAGCATACAAACCTCCTAAAGACCGTAGACTACGAAGAGCAAGTTGAAAGTACGCGCTCTTGAAACCA